CTCTTTTGATACGCTTATATATGCCTCTCTTTTGACCAATGAGATGTGGTGGTTTAACCACATTATTCTTGCTCTGACTGCTTGGTTACTTAGGAATTTGGATGGTAATCATTCATTTCGGAAAATAATGTAGGAAAATGCTTTTACAGAGAATTCTACATGACATTCAAAAAGAAAAGTAGCGTATGTTACCCCTAATGACACGTTGCCTTGTTACTCACACCGTTACATTATCGCAATGGTGAGGAGCACCTTTGCTCTCCTAATTAGGAGCTAAAGTTTGCAGTTCACTGAATACAGAATTGGGTGGCTGCAGTGATGTTTTCTGAATTATTCTTGAGAAAATAAAAAAAATCAGGCCTCAAGACCTCGTTATAAATATGTGACCACCTGATGTGGTCAGCAGAGAAGCGTCGTTTGTTTCTATTCCGTTCACACACCTACTGTAAAAATCAAGGCAGCAGTGGCATCTTGCAATTCTTTTCTTTGTGTGGTAGCAGGTAGCTGATCCACTGCTTCTGCTGGAATCTTATGGTGTCTTGCCAACTCAGCAATAACGATTTCTGTCTTGCAGTGAGGTGTGCCACATAGTTAAGTTAGAGCACTTCTACATATAAAGCATTTCTGGGTACCTTGATCATATAGCGAACTGCATCGCCCGTTCAGTAACGCTGTGTGGGGCTTTGGAACAGGCGATGATAACGCTCATGACGCTGCTATATATAAAGAACTTTAATGTGATCATTTTCAACCAGCACAGTGAGAAGATATGTAGCCTGCTTACTCCAGTTTTCTATAAGTCTGTATGTTGTGGTCACCTCCTCACTTAAAACGTTTCAGTTATTTCAGGTTCAGTCCACCTCCAGAATGGGATTAATAAGGCATTTAAGACAGACTTTTAACTGTTGTGCCTACTGCTTGCAAGCGGCTATTGTCGTGTATGTAATACATTATGATGCCCAATGTGCCACATTACATTTGGGTGCTCGTAGTTGGACCTTACTCGATTTCTTAGCCTACTACCCCCTACTACCCTTATCGACAGCCTGATAAACACCCACAAGTGTACTCGTGTCAATATGCGTCTTACTAGCAGAAAGCGCTTTCTTAGAGGGCTCGTTGGGTTATTTGTTAAGTGGAGGCTTGTCCTCGCAACTGTTTGGTTGCATGCAACATACAGACTGCTATAAACTTTGGCTAATTTTCTCATAGGTGAAACTGTTTTTTCCAAATTTCAGATTCGGGTATTCATTTGTCTTATATAGTAATTTCTTATTAATTAGTGGACTGGCTACATTATTTTGTAAAAGGTCAGCGACCTACGGCTATTGTCTAGAGTTTTTCCGAACGTTTGCAGATCTTGCAATCAATGGGAAGGCGAGGGCAGGTCAGCTATCTTAGACACGTTTGTCCGTAATCTACGCCTTACCATAATAATTAGATTTCAGGACTTGTACTTTGTGTTTGTAATTATCACCAGTTACATCTAGTCCCTTAATAACGTCATAAGCCTTTGAGCTGAATTCTCAACCAGTTGAGCTTAGGTCATAATTATCCGTGCGACTGTCAAGGTGGAACCAGAAACAGGAACTCCGCAAAATCCCTTCCATCGCATGTCAGTTGAGAGGCTGGATTATCACCTAATAAGCCCTGTAGAGCATGAAATACTATGAAGAAAACGAAGACACATGTGCAACATCTGGGTATCTTTATTGTAGACGTTTCACCATCCAGTGGCTTTATCATTACAGATTCTAGACTCTGTATTGATAAAGCCACTGGATGGCGAAACGTCTACAATAAAGATACTCAGATGTTGCACATGTGTCTTAGTTTTCAATTTGTCAGTATTGTATACCATTCTTGTACATGAAATACTATGTTTCTCTACGCAGGGTCCGACCTCCGTGCCAGGACCTTCTTACATGCAACAAGTCTTGAGTATAATGTATTGTCTTTCACCAAAACGGCCCTGAACTTCTTAAGCTCGGTATCATTCTCGGAATCGGTCAATTGTCGTTCTAAATCTTCATAAGTGGCTGTGTAAGGCGGCTGCCCGATTTCCATTAATTCTATAGTTGACTCTAATTCTGTATAGTCCAATGAATTTTCTTTGAGCAAAACTTCACAGGCTGTTAATAGTCGACCTAGTGACCTGACCTTTTTTCCTAGAATGCACCTCTAAAAATCTCTAAGGAAGCCTTGGCTCAAACTGTCTATCAAGTCAGCACACGGATTTTTCACTTCTATACAGCGGTTAAACAACTTAGTGCTGCTGACAGGTTACTTTGAGTCTGTCAACTGTCCTAAAAATCCCGATCAGTATAAATGAAGCAGATGAGTGCTTAATCATCACTACTGCACACCATGGCAGACACAGATAGCTTTCAGCTTAGATGACACTCAACACTTAGATAACACGGGTATAGCAATAAGCACTTCATATACCTGTAACAACACACAACGAGTCGCCAGCTGTTTACAACTTATACTAATCATATTTCGCTGCTGAGTTCAGCAAGGCCAAAAGCGAGATCTAGCTCAAAGTCCTGGCTAGGGCTGAATGAATAGGGTTTACTTACTGACTCCCCAGTTGAGCCGATAATGACAGGAGAGATGTGGCTGTGTTGCCAATTGCCAGATGAAACAAAAAGATCCTGTTGCCTCCTCCTGCCATTTTACCCAGAGAACACTTCTGTCACCCCTTAGTTTCAAGTGACGGCCATCTTGAACTATACACGAAGCCCTTGGCGCCTAAAACCACTCGTTGGATCTAATTGATGTATGTACATCATATTCTACTCACATGATGTACATACTTTCACTACACAAAGACGTTCTACGAGCACTTTGTGCGTAATTTACAATTACTAATGAAAGACCAATACTTACTAGTGACTGTACTTAAGATTGCTATTCACTTGTTCTAAACTAACGTTTCTAAAGGCCTCTGTCTAAATGCCATCCATGAAGTGTCTGATCTATACAGTAGAAATGACCTTTCATGACTGGCTAAATATACACGGGTACATTTACCAGTAGGTAGAGAGTGTGATGTATCGCTGCATACAACGGTGAACCCATAAACTGGTCCTTGGAAAAGATCAGTAAAACCTGAGAGTTTACGATAATTGCGTAATTCCTAACACCGTGCAAGTTATACTGACTTACCTGGTGTAAGAGGGCGCTAAGCTAAAGTGTGGGTCGTTGAACCAGGGCCTACATTGAGGCTTACAATGTAAAGACTCCTTGAACCTAAAAGACCTGGTTACATGATTATTACCACGTCTGATTAGAATGAGCCACTGAATCCACGCTATAGAACCTACCTGTAGAATCCCATGATCAAGTATCCTGGATTTATCGCGCTTCGTTTTACATGAAGCTACTAGACTTGCTACCACTGGGCCCCAAGAGTGACAGCATGGGTGCCCGTGATTTAAACATCCCTAGACCTGGCAGGGATGCCATATTGGTGGTCTGCAGAGGGGAGAAAATGGCTGTCCATATGATGTTTATGCTTATATTTCTTGTTTTAACTGTCTAACCTAATCTTACTATCAAGATTTAATATAGGAACTTGGCCACACAATTAACTCAACAGACACTCTTTCGTAGAACTGAGTGAGTGAGCCTTCACCTCTGTAACTTCCCTAGTACCCCCATCTAGCTTCGTGTGGTGTGGAAAAACCAATGTTTTTCCACATCATTCCTTCTTCACAACAGGTCTATGCTGAACTATTAAACCTACGCAGAAAAGAGGTGGGTTTCGTTGCAGTCGTCAAAGGTAGTTCACCAGCCTGATGTTGTTAGTGTAGGTAAAGGTGGTGATTCGCATACCTGGTATCGGTGGCGTGATTGTCGGTGGTGATTTTCTTACCTGTTAGTATTGTTAGTGTGGTTAACAGTGGTGTTTCATCTTCCTGCTAATGGTGGTGGTAACAGTAATGTTGTTGGCGGTTGTTATGCAGGGTTCTGCATGACATCGTAATGTACATATAGTGGAAAAGTGTTCCATAATAGTATGAAAGTTATAATTGTAGAGAATAATTTTATAATTCATAATGTGCATTTGAGGGCACTGTAAAGTACTGTAACTGTAATTATAAAGAAATCCTGCTAGGGATTTATTTTCCAAGGGTGTTTGGGTACGCGGGGTAAGCGTGGCTTGGGGCAGTCACGTGGAGTCAGCATGGTGTGGAGGCTGGCGTCGGAGATGCTGTGTGTTTAAGCTAAGTTTGTAGTTGTGTACTCCTTTTGTTTAACCAACTCAAGCCATAGGCTCTTCTATGGCTTACCTGTATGTTCACCTAGGCTCTGACATGGTCAGGATGCTGTGGGATGAGTGAGGAAATAAGAAATGGGGTTTGTAGTGGAGCAGTGAGGGCCTGACGCTGACTAGGCCTAGTGGTTATGGTGGCTGGACCTCCAGCCAGCTGTTTCTTGTGTACCCTCATTTTGGCGTTTAGGATTAAGGTGTTGCTAGAGTGTGTATATAATGTTATGTTGAATAAATAGATATATTTTCCTAACTCGGATTTTTGCCTAACCCTCTGTTAACCAACCCATTGAAGTAACACATACTGGTTTAGCGCCTTCTGTTTTGACTGGGATAGCCCTGGGTGGCCTGTTTATGCTTGAGATGTGTGTAACTTTTACCTTTGCCCTTAGACAAGGTTCTAGCCCCCAGGTATCCCACATTTCTGCGTAACAGCGGTGATGTGGTTAGCAGTAATATTACGTTTTACCTTCCTGGTGTTGGCGGTGTGGTTAAGGGTGGTGATTCGCCTCACTGTGGTTAAGGTTGTGATTCACTTTCCTGTTGTTGGTGTGGTTAATGATTCACCTACCTGTTGCTGTTGGTTTGGTTAACGGTTTTCACTCACCAACCTGCGGTTGTTGTTGGTTTAATAAAGATCGTAAAACACCTACCTGTTGTTGTTGTTATTGGTGGTGTGGTTAACGGAGATGATTCATCTACTTGTTGATGATTCACTTACCTGGGTCAGACGTAGCAACGCCGGCGTTGACGCCCAGCAGGATGAGCAGTGTTGCTAACGTTGCTGTTTCCAGGTGCATGATTAGAATGCCTCAGGCCAGCGCTGTGTGTGGTGGTGGCACCTCTGTTGCTGGAGCGATGGTGCTAGTGGTGCTGCAAGAGACCTCCGTCTATGGTGGTGACGATGAACAGTGTTGGTGGTGCTGAAGACGTCGCTTCTGGCAAGCTTTGGTAGTAGTGGTGTTATTATTGGTGCTGGATTTCTTGCTGGTGTTGGTGACACCTGTCACTGTCGCTTATGTTTTGGATGGTGACAGTAATGGTGGTGGTGGAAATGGTGGTAGTGGTGACAGTAATGGTGGTAGAGGTAATGATGGTGGTCGTAGTACTGCTACTACAGGTATCACTTAAACAGGTTTTTTTTTATCACTACCTCTGTTTCACTAGACCAGATGTTTATTTCACCAGACCAAATATCAGTGTTTCACTAGACGAGATGCCAGTGTTTCACCAGACCATATTCCTGTGTTTCACCAGAAGAGATGCCAATGTTTAACCAGAAGAGATGCCAGTGTTTCACCAGACCCGATGCCAGTGTTTCACCAGACCAGATGCCAGTGTTTCACCAGACCAGATGCCAGTGTTTCACCAGATCAGATGCCAGTGTTTCACCAGACCATATCTGTGTTTCACCAGAAGAGATGCCAGTGTTTCACCAGAAGAGATGCCAGTGTTCCACCACACCAGATGCCAGTGTTTCACCAGACCAGATGCCAGTGTTTCACCAGACCAGATGTCAGTGTAGGGCGCTGGTGGCAGTAGTGTCAGGTGTTTCAGACAATTATTCTCCTCAAGATGGACACTTCACCATCTCTTTACATCTCTGTCTTTCAGTCTCTCCTTGTATAAGTCGCTAATTTTCTCTATCTCTACCTTTGCTATCATTAATTTTCTTTCTTCCTGTTTCTACCTACATTTCTATACATTTCTCTCTCCCTCCCGTCCTCTGTCGAATCTCTCTCCTCTCTCTCTCTCTCTCTCTCTCTCTCTCTCTCTCTCCCTCTCTCCCCTCTCTCTCTCTCTCCTCTCTCTCTCTCTCTCTCTCTTCTCTCCTTCTGGATCTATTTACCTCGCTCTCTACCTGCCCATGTCACTTTAATATCTCTTCATCCAACTTTTCATTATCGTTTTTGTGTGTGTGTGTGTGTGTGTGTGTCTCATCTGTATCTCCGATTTTTATCTGTTTTCTTTACCTATCTCTATATTTTATCTGTCTTTGGTTTCCTGTCTGTTATCTTGGCCTCTTCTAAATTAATTTTCTCTCTTCCTCTAGTTTCCTCTTTCATGTTTCTTTTATTCGCTCTCTCTCTCTACCATTCTTTGAGTCTTTTTCTGCCTAGCTACGACTTTTATTTTTTCTCCTAGTCGCTATTCACTCTTAAATAGAGAACTTTGTTCTCTCTCTCTCTCTCTCTCTCTCTCTCTCTCTCTCTCTCTCAAATATTATTGTCTCTAAAAGCTTAGTTTATTCTTTATCTCTGCCTCCAAATTCTGAGTCTCGCTCTAGTTATCCTGATAGCTCACGAGTCTCACTCTAGTTATCTTGATATCTCACAAGCCTCACTCTAGTTATCCTGATATCTCACGAGTCTCTCTCTTAGTTATCCTGATATCTCACGACCCTTTCACTCTGTTATCCTGCCCCTCTCACGTGTCTCACAGTAAAGAGTATTTTTTTTCCTGTTTACTTTATTTCACAAACTCTCTTTCATCTTTATCTTCTCCCCAGAAAATCACTCCCTTTAATGTCATCGCAGATAAATCACTTTGATGTCTCCTTTTTATGTATCATTTGTTTACATGTTTACATTTTCCTTTCATGTTTATCTTAAGCAGTGTTTTTTGTTTTAAACATTATGTTTTCTGCATTATTTTTCTTCACTTCTGCTCGTTTATTCTCTCTCTCTCGTTTTGCAAGAAGAAAATTATTATAATGTTAGTTTGTTGAATGTTTTTGAGTATCGTATAATGTTAAAATATTTTAATTAGGAAGCTTCGATATGGCAAAAGTGCAAAAGGTTTTAACGTTTTCAGAAATTTGGGAAAATCTGGAGCAAAATTGACTTCATTAAACCGTGTTTACTATGTCACGTGAAGCTCTCGCGTTTTTTAGGCATCGTTGTATCTTTTTGTTCGCGTTTATGTTCACAACATTATTTTATAACGTGATTACTACATCGTCAGTTGACTATTCCTGTATGTGGTAGAAATCGCTGCTGACTTCATGACAGCATGGCTGTGATCATCACTGTTGACCCCATGACAGCATGGCTGTGATCATCACTACTGACTCCATAACAGCATGGCTGTGATCATCACTGCTGACTCCATAGCAGCATGGCTGTGATCATCACTGCTGATTCCATGACAGCATGGCTGTGATCATCACTGCTGACTCCATGACAGCATGGCTGTGATCATCATTGCTGACTCCATGACAGCATGGCTGTGATCACTGCTGGCTCCATAACAGCTTGCCCTCTTATCACCACACACAGTGAAACCAACTCGCTGGACCTGTAATCATATGATAAAAGTGTTATTAGTATCACTGTGGCGTCAAAATTCTGCAACGGACAGTTACATTACCATCAACATGATTTCACGATCTTCGCCATTCAGTGCCAGGTCAACAAGGGGACAGGTATACAGAACAAGCTAACAGGAGCTAAAACTGGAAAATCGCGCTAACTAGAGATTTTTCTAGTCCTGAGGACAGGCAAATGTTTACTCTAAGATAAACTTTGTACTGAAGACATATTTACCATACCTTGTTTACGCGCCATATCTTATCCACATACCATACCTTGTACACATATTATAAATTGTTCACATACGATATCTTGTTTACATACAATATCTTGTTATAAAACATTCTAAACAATTAAACCAGTACAATTGTATGAAATCAAGGCTAAAGTGGACTAAAATTATGTTACCAAATAAAAATACGTTGAATCCTGGTGTTGAACTTAGGTGGTGTTCTAACTGAGAAAAGTTCGAAGTCCAAAATAGCATTTCCTAGGCTTTAATCATCAGCCTCACACGCTGGAGGAAGTTGAATTGACTCTTCGAAAAGTCTCTGAGAGATAGGTCAGTGTCAGAGGTCACTTCAGAGTATTTTCGAAAGGGGGTTTTCATGTAAAGTTTTTTTAAACAATTGAATTTTAAACAAGCTGGCGCGTTCGGACTCCAAAAAAAAGTTCAAAGATCGGGTCAGTTATTAGGACTCGGGTTTTGTTCGAGGTCCAGTACGTTCGAATACCGAGGTTCCACCGTAATATCTAAATTAGAATCCTTTCACTATCAAAATGATTTCATCAAAATCATTTAACCAGCACTTTAACAGAAGTAATTGCATTAACGTCACCGTCAAAAATCAAGTCTTCTTTAGTTTTACTTCGGGAAAGAGTTAAATCTTCAAAATCATTTCCCTTGACGGTCCTCATTCACTGCAGTCCTTTTATCAACAAAGTCAAGGAAACTAGGGGCTTCTCTTTTTCTCTGTCTCTCTCTCTCTCTCTCTCTCCTCTCCCTCTCTCTCTCTTTTCTCTCTTCTCTCTCTCCTCCCCTTTCTCTCTCCCCTCAAAAACTAATTTTGCTCCCCCAGCTGTAAAACAAATCAACTTTCTTTGTTAAAGTTGTGGCTACCCACTGGAAGTTAGTTACCACCTGGAAGTTAGTTACCACCAGGAATTTAAAGTTACCCACTTGAAGTTATTTTACCCACTTGAAGTTAGTTACCCACTGGGAGTTAATAACCCACGGGAAGTTAGTTACCCGCTGGAAGTTAGTTACCCACTGGATGTTAGTTACCCACTGGGAGTTAGTTCCAACCTGGAAGTAAGTTACAACCTGGAAGTTAGTTACCACCGGGAAAGTTAGTTACCCACTGGAAGTTAGTTACCCACTGAATGTTAGTTACCCACTGAGAGTTATTTACCCACCAAAAGTTAATTACCCACTGGAAGTTAGTTACCCACTGGACGTTAGTTACCCATTGGAAGTCAGTTACCCATTGGAAGTCAGTTACCCATTGGAAGTCAGTTACCCACTGGAAGTTAGTTACCCACTGGAAGTTGGTTACCACCTGGAAGTTAGTTACCCACTGGATGTTAGTTACCCGCTGGAAGCTAGTTACCCACTGGAAGTTAGTTGCCCACTGGATGTTAGTTGCCCACTGGATATTAGTTACCCACTGGATGTTAGTTACTCGAAATTAGTCACCTACTGGAAGATGACGATCTCCTGGTAGGTGAGCTGGAAACTGCAAGCTGAGAGCTTAGGGCAGTGTAGAGGCGCTCCACTCTTGACCACTAGTGCACCAGACTCATGTTCATCACTCTCTGTAGAAGAGGAACACAGTGTTAGAGTAACAAGTTTATTTTTACTTTCGTATCGTTTTCCTTTTGTGTGTGTCCCCCATTTCACAACTTGCCGCTTGCCAGAATCACTCTTGGTCCCATAGGCCTAATCGTACTTCTTTTTAAAACCATGTATGAAGCCTGCCTCCACTACTACGTCATCGAGGTTATTCAACTTCCCGCCCACAATGAGACTGAACAAATACTTCCTGACATCCCTGTGTTTCATCTGTGTCTTTAGTTTCCAGCGGTGCTCCCGAATGTGTCCCGCCTCTCCAGTATTTTGCATTTGTCTGCCCTGTCAATTCCTGAGTATTTTATATGTTAGCAAGTCTTCCTTGGTCTTTCTGTACTGTCGGGAAGTTAGATTTAATTCTTATATATTTTCCTCGTAGCTGATAGTCCTTCCCTTTGGAGAAACTCTCGTTGCATACTTCTGCACTTTCTCTAGATTCCTAACATGTTCAAGTGTGGGTTCCACACTGGTGCTGCGTACTCCAAGATGGGCCTGACATATGTAGTATAAAACACCCTAGATGACTGTTGAGATTCCTGAAGGTCAATCTTAAATTTGCCTGGTGAGCATTGGCCACAGAAGTTATTCGGTTGATGTGAGCCTCTGGAGATATGGTATGCACTATGCTTGCTCTCAAGTCCTTTATGAATGAAGTCTGCAGTTTCTGTTCCCTGAGTTTATACTCCGTGTCGGGCCTTTTGAGCCCTTTCCCTAGTTTTGAATTCAAGCAACCACATATCTGACCAACGCTACATGCAGCCTATCCAGATCCATTTGAAGCCTGTCCCCACTCTTCACCTGTTTGCATTCTCCTCACTGTTTTTATATCATCAACGAATAGTGATTCATGTGCCTGAATTTCATCATGTATGTAGCTCACATAAACTAAAACAGTACTGGTCCTAACACCCAATTTTGTGGTACAGTGCTTTCACTTTCCATCATACTGACATGTCTTCCGGGGAAATTTAAATCTTTGCCTCCTTCAGGAGTACGTTCCCAGTTATCCCTGCCTGTTTCTCAAGGTTTTGCTTCAGCTTTGTGTGTGTGTGTGTGTGTGTGGTGTGTGTGTGTGTGTGTGTGGTGTATGGTTGCAATAACTGGATGATATTTTATCAATAGTATACAATGTAGACAAGTTGATTAGTAAGGCACATGTGCAACAATGAGGCATCTTTTGTTGAAGACTAGTCTCTTCTGCGCTTAACGTTCTTCAATATAATACAGAATTGAGTAAAAACACAGAAGGCAGAAGTGGAAAGGTAATTCTGTGGCGATCAGTCCCTTATGGATGGTCGATCCCTTAGCCCTTGTGGATAGTGGTCAACCCTTTAGTCCTAGTGGATGGTGGTCGATGCCTTAGTCCTGATTGATGGTGGTTAATTCATTAGCCTCAAGGGAGAGTGTTCAGTTTCCTTTGCCCTGGGGCATGGTGGTCGGTCTCTTAGTCCAATGAAACCTGCTTGTGCTAGTAAAACGCTTCGTCAATAAAAAATACCCATGTGTTGTACATGGCGTCTCCACAACTGAGATTATCAAACATAACTTTCTTTTTACATTGCGGGACGTAGTTATACGCTGATTACGCACAGTTTGGGTAGTCAATGTAATGGCAAAAGGCAGGTAATTGCGTCTCTATGTTATAAAGTCACTCTGGCTCTTTCCGTGTTCTTCCACGTGTTTTTTTTGCCACCTCACGTAAAAAGCACTTCGCAGTTAATCAACTGTGCCAGTCATTATTCGTTTTTTGTTGTTTCTCTAATGTGTTTATGTATTCTTGCATCCACTGATGAGGCTCTCCCTGGGAAGTCGAAATAAAAAGACAATTTTGCTTTCCTGTTTCTGGGCACATGCCGGTTCCTTTCTTTTCTGTTTGTCTGTCTGTCTGTTTGTCTCTCTCTCTCTCTCTCCCCTTTTCCTCTTCTCTCTCTCTCTCCTCTCTCTCTCTTCTCTCTCTCTCTCTCTCTCTCTCTCTCTCTCTCTCTCTCTTTCTACATTTACACAATGTTAATAATATAATATTTTTAATTCATTTTTTTCCTTTTTGAAAATCAGTACATGAAATATATTCTGATTTTTTTAATTATAATTAATAGTATAATAAGCGTTTAAATACTTTTTTAATTTTTATATTTTATTAGAATACAAATGTAATGTCACAATAAATGTAACAAACACTATAGTAAAACTTACATGTTCTGAAAGTTTAATAATTTTAATCTTGAAATATATTTTAATAGCTAAGTTAATATATTGAACTTCAACGATGTGTATAGCTAAAGTCGACATCTACTCGTAGAGTTGGACGTTGGGTATATGCTTTCTTTTATCAACTGCGGTAATAAATGTTTTGTATATTTTTCGTTTTAAATATTACCCTGATTTAATGTTGTCTGGCAGGAGAGTAATGTAATTACCTTGACCCAACACTTTCTAGTATCAAAATTAATTTCTTAAACACAGTGTTGTCCCTAAAGTATTTAACGTCGCTGGTCCGTTTTAGTGGGATTGTTTTAGGTTTCCTTCTCTAGTTAGTCCTTCTATATGAGTTTTATATTAATTAAAGTGCATGTTAACTGAATGTCACTGACACTGGTGATGTGATTTGTTTTTTTAAAGATGCCGGCTTGTTAGGACTCCACGAACAGTGACCTTCAAGAGGTTGCCTAAACTTTTGTCTTCCTCCAATTTTTCGCTTTGATTTCGCTCCAACGGTTGGTCATCATCTGACGAAGACCTGCGTCAGGAAACACTTGTCCTGTTTCCTGACGAACCTTACCTAACCTAACCTAACGTAACTTAATCAAATTTTCAACACTTGTGTACAGTAATGAGGATCAAATTCATGAATCAATTGGTATACTCGTGTACCCTATGACCAAAGTTTTAGAGCACATTCCCAGCATCCTGGAATGGCTCGGATACCTTTCACAACCCTCAGTGGCGCAGGTTTAAGCGTTCAAAAAAGTAATTAAAAATTTGACGACGGCGAAGAGTGAAAATCAGATGTGTAGGTGCAGATCTGACTATTTTATATGTAAAACAGTTTTTTTTTTTTTTTTAAGATTTGTATGTTATGCATACCTAACACTTGTTTATGTTATGTTTGTTTATGTTATGCTTACCTAACACTTGTTTATTTACTTGCTGTAGCTACTTAAAAACTGACCAATCTTATTCAGAGAAAAGTCTGGATCGATTTTGGTCTGAGTAGGTCCCAGTTTGCTTTTTGGAAGAAATTGGAAGACTGAAATAATACTTTTCTTTCAATTTCTGATTATCACATCTGATTAGCTTCAAACCTTACATGCTGATAACGTGATAATGAAAGTTCTGATTGGCTTCAAGCTTAATGTGCTTGGTCTAGTATCTTTGAAATGATTGAATTAGATTTGGGCTCTGTGCTCTAGTTTACCAATTTTATTGAAGAAATTTTAACATTAGTTCCTATGTGAAGATTTGTGAATTGGTCTTCTGATTTCTTTCAGATCTTCATTGATAACATTTAACTCAATTATCAACTTATGCCGCACTCTGAATTATTCCAATCGCGGGCATTGATGCACTGGGGGCTGGGGTTTATAGAATATGGGGTACCTGTCTCGGATCGCGCAGAGACCCAAATACAGCTAGTTATCTAGTATTTTACTTTTAACTAGTACCGGCTGTCGGCGCTTCACTGGTGCTTAGCAGATTAATTCCCATTTCTCTTACTATTAAGTATAAGTAATTCTTTTAGCAAGTATTCAGTCTTACCGAACTGTCACCACTAAATTACACTGTTTTAAACCACTCTATTATTTTCTGATTAAAATCTTCCTTAATGAGTTGCTTTACCTTTGTCCTCGACGCTCTAGTGGTTATGTCCTCAAAGGCTTTTATTATGTCCTTGTTGTTTTCGTACTCTTGTCTCAGTTCCCTGCCATTTGGTTGTGAGTTAAGTTTCCATCTTAGGTCCCATGGTTATAATTATGTTCTGATATGTACTTTTTATACACATCACTGCTCATGTTTCTAGGGCCCCCAAAATCCATTGTTCCTGACAACATTGCCACTCCTTCACTAACTCGATGTCGAGGTTACATCCGCATTACATAGTTCCCTGCTGGGAATGTCACATGTTTCTTTGTTCCTGTTAAACTTCATCTCAGTTTTGGCAGTTATATCTGATGAGGTCACCTTCATTATGTATTATATCTGTGATTATATAAATTATCTTGATCTCACTGTTCCATACTTTTTTCCTTTGCCATGTCTTTTATTTGGAGAAACTGTTTTGCAGGTGGTGCATGGTTGGGGAGTGTGGTGGCGTCTGTGTCTTTATTCTTATTGTTAGGTGTGAGGGAGAATTCCCAGCAGCTTCTGCACTTTGTTTCTCAGCTACTCTGTCTCTTTGGTTCTTTTTATTCATTCCTTATCCCTATTTTATGTATTTCACTATCTCTGTCGAGGTAAATTACGTGTATTTCTATTTTCTTTGGAACTGCTTTCTGTATTAAAATTCTGTCTTACGAACTTTGAAATGTAAGTAAAGCCGTAATCAGGGTGATTTTTACCTCCTTACGGAATAGATAAGGTACGAAGTCAGCGTGAGTATGTTTTGGTAGAGGGTTACAGAGCCTAGATAGAAGTGGTAGGATAGTGGAAACAGGCTGAGGTGGAAGTACTATCTGGAGCAGGGGTTCGTAACCTTTCTAAAATTATAGACCCCCAGTGGATTGCCCAATATGTCCCGATACCCCCTTCGCCAGACTGTCGAAATCATCATCATTAATCCTATTAGGTGCCGGTATAACTTCAAAAGATGTCAATAGCTTGGTTTTACTTTACATGTGGATAGTTAGCAACACAACAGCTGAAAGGAAATCATAAGGATTTTATCAGATTTAGAGAAAAACGGCAAACTGTTCAGAGATCGAGGCCCATATCCCCATTATTTGATTCAAATAATCTCAAGGGGTATGGA